TCCAGAGCAGTTTCACTTGAGTTGACGGTGTCACGTGAGGAGAAAGGGCAGGTATTAGAGTTGCTCTCATTTCATCCTCTGAAGACGCCCTCAGGGCTCCCATGCATCACTAATGTGTTGCTGCTCCGAGCAGAACCACCCACGTGGCCTCATCCCGCCCTGAACAGGCTGCAACCTAGTGACCCACACCACCTCTGTCACACAGGTATCACCATCCTCGGGCCAACCCAGACTCTAAGATGAAGCACCTTCAAGTCACTTAACCAAATCTCAAGTGTCAGACAACAAAATGTAAGGCCCAGAAAAGGTGAACAAGTCGGCAAATGTCAAACTCCCTGGAATACAAAGGAAGGGAAGCATTTCTGACTCTCTGCGTGTCGCCCTTGTGCTCATGTTCACTGTTGGAAACCCACAGGAAGCACATCACTGAATGCTCAATGACCCACAGGGTAGCTAGTGTCCAATTTCTAATGAGTAGCGGGCCAGGAAGAATCAAAAGTTACCCAACGGTCACAGTTAAGGGGAGCGAGAACCTGAGAGCGTGACCCAAACGGTCTCCACACAGCCTCAAGCCTTTCTCCTCCACCAGCATCTTCCAATCTTCAGTCATTTACCAACTGCTCTCCAAGATTTCACCACAGCCACATGAAACAATGCCTTCCTTAACTTTATCTTGTCTTTCTTAATAGCCACTTGAGCAATCACACTCATGAAACCGCAACTTGACGTGGGTCAGAAAGAAGTTGTCATTGCTGTAGTATCAGAAATCATCTCAAATACCACATCAAACTCAAAAGCAATGTCCTTCCAAGTTTACATGTCACGGGGTTAGAATCTTGACATGTCACTTTTTCTGGGGTTTCTGGGACTTTAGCCAACGTTGATACTGCCTTTGAGCTGTGATCACGATAGCAAAGACAGAATGAGCTCCCACACTAACTCCCCCAAACTGATTCAGCCACCACTCAACCTGCTGGTTATACCCTGGCTTAGAGAAGAACCAATGAAGTGACCAAAATGTTCCAGCAATATGAAAACGGGGTGAGGCAGACCTGTAAGGCTTCATCCTGGGACTTCTCATCCGGATGGATTCAGTGATAAATAGAGGAGGTATCCGTGACTTAACTTTTAAAGTTGGAACAACACTAAAACAGCATGAGATGGTACTCTGGAGAAAGACTTGAACAGGGGAGCTAGGGTTGGCTGTGCCTCATTCCTAGGATATCACTCCCATGACTGCATCAACTTGAAGGAGTCACCTCCACTTTCAGCATCAGATTCCCTCTAGGAAGACCGACCCCGAATTCCCCTGCCCCCCATCTCAGCACCTACGAAAGCATGGTTGGCACAGAGTTGACTAACAGAGGTAGCCTGCCCCATGAATCTACACCCGAACTAAACAGTTTCTAAACAACAAACCAATGTTGTAGCCCGGGACACTTTGAGGCAAGACGAGAGTATTTGAGTAGACTCCTGTATCTACAGAGTCCCTGTGGACAGGCCAACGGCTTTAGCAGAGGTACACTGAGGAAGGAACAAAATGAATTCTCCAAGTGGATTCCAAAGCAGGACCCAGTGGTTCCAGCAATGACCACACAGGCAAGTAGCTCTCTAAGACCCTAAGGAGTGGGCAGTCTCTGAGGGACCAATCGCAGCCTCAAGCCTTGTTCTCATAGGGATCACTGTCTGGAACACCAAAGGAGAGTCACTGAACCCCTAGCAACAAGCAGCAGCTATATAAACACAGCAGAATCGGGATCTGAGGTGGCTAGAGTAAGATAAGGAAGGAAAGGGGATTTAATAACGTATATTAGAAGAGACGGACATGTTCCCTTTGGCTCGGAAAGCCAGGGGTAGAATTAGGGGAAAGAGAAGTTACTTGCAGTTCTGCGTATTCGTAAGACCTGCAGTTTGAGTTGGCTGCACATGGATGATGAGTCAACAGGATAAGCACATCAAAAGCCTCATGCAATCTCAGACTGCACAGACAGAAATACGGCACTCAAACAGGCAAAAGTCCCTTTCTCCTCTACGCTAAAACCCTTTTGTAACTTCTGGTAAACTTTGGGAATGACACAAACGCCCTGAGAAGCAACCAGCCGAGGCAGAAGTCAGGAGGAAAGCATTGCATAAGAGAACTGGAGGCCACTGAGATGAGAAAAACAAAAGAATCCAGGAAGAGACACAAGAACTGTCCTCAGACTGTCAAGGGTCTCAGAATTAGACTGATTCCCTCCAAAGTACAGCATGGTGGCAAATACTTCCCGACAGTTCGAGCTATCAACACCCAAGATGAGCTACCTCCTGAGAAGCGGAAGTAGAAGGATACTACAGGTATCTTGGTAGGGAACAACAGTGACATTCCCAGCCTCCAGTTCAGACCAGTGGGGTGTTTTTCAAAATCAGCAAAAGGTTCCAATAGCGGTTCCAAAACCGGCAAAAGGCTACCACTTCCTAGAGAAGGAAGCAGCGTTTCTCTGCACTTCCTCTATAACTGTGGCCTGGCTTTCTACTTCAGGATAAACGAAGAAAAATGACAGCGATTCAAGGACTAGCTGGGGCTGGAGATGTAGCTCAATGGCTCAGTGCCTGCCTAGCTTGTGCGAGTTCCTGGGTCTCATCTGCAGCACAGGACCACAGATTAAAACCAAGCAAAACTAGCTGCTGGGCAAAGGGGGCACTGAAAACTGGAAGCCAGCTTCCTTCTCAAGAGCTGTGCACACACTCTTGGTTTCTTTGCCCATCCTGCTTCACAACACCAGCTGTTAAAAGAAGACCCTCCTTTCTAGGCAGCCTTCACTAAGAACTGGAAATGCCTCCCGTCCATGTTGCCAGCCTCACACATGAAGAGGCAGACGAACAAGGTCTGATGGTCAGAAATGCAACAATGTCGTGTGAGGACAGCACTAGCTTCTGTTTCTAAAGCACCTACTATGTGCCGGACCTTGTGTTAGACTTTGCATCTTAGGTATTACCGTACTAATGATATAATAGTATATCATTATACTGTACATAATAATGTAATATTATTTACATTAAATAACTCAGGAAATTAAGTCTCAGACATGTTAAACGTTTTGTCTGAGCTGTCCAGGCTTGAAAATAAATCATCATAAGCAAGGCTAGAGAGATGGTTCAGTGGTTACGAGCACTGGATGTTCTTACAGAGGGCCCAGGTTCTAGTCCCAACACTCACATGGCAGCTCACCACCTTAACTCCAGTTCCAGGGACTCTGATGCTCTCTTCTGGTCTCATGCACATCAGGGACACATACGACGTACATACAAACATGCAGGCAAAATACCCATACACATAGAACAAAATAAATAAATCTAAAAGTAATTTTTAGGAAAATAATCATGGTTCGTATTCCTTAAATGTTTCTTAGGTATCAAATACTGTTTTAGCGCTGTACCCATTTTTCCATAAGAAGAGATAACCCCCAAGGGACCACGGGTTATTCACAAAGTCACACAGTAATGCACTGGCACTTTTCCTCTACAATGCACCATCTCCTGGAGGTAGAAAAAATAACCCAGTTCTGCTGCTGCAAGACAACCTAACAGGGGCCCTCCATGACAGAAAAGCCTGGCCTTGACCAGAGGCCTCCATGACAGAAAAGAGAACTCAAGACAATCTGGCTGCACATCCAGGAACAGACCAGCTGCAAGTGCCTCACAGGTGACTCAGGGACCAGAGCATGCCCATGCCTCTCTGCTGATGCCACACACCCACTCTGTGCCACCCCAATCAGCTCTGACCCTCCTTGTCATGGAGGAGTCCCCTACAGCAACACCTCTTTTTAAAAACTTTTTTGGTTTGTGTGTGTGGAGGTGGGGGGGCGGGGGTGCATGTAAGTGCAATGCTCTCAGAGGCCAGAAACCATCAGACTCCCTGGAGGTGGAGATATAGGCAGTTGTGAGCCACCCAAGGTGGGGGCTGGGAACTGAACTTGGGTCCTCTGGAAAGGCACCATGCACGGGTCACTTCTGAGCTCTCCAGCACCCCCAAACGCCTCTTCTGCTACCCAAGGAAACCATAGTTCTGCATCCTCACGAACGAGCTCCCACCCAATCCATCTAAACGCTAACATTTTACACCATTTCTTCTCATGCCAAATGGATCACAAACTGGGAGGGAGGCCTCTCAAGAAAGGCTAGACCAATCCACTCCCTCCTCAAATGTCAAAGTGGGTAAAAAGGACTTTCTCGGAGCAGTGGCCACTGTTGGCCCATGATGGGAGGAGCACTTCATCACTGACGTAGTTCAGGACAGCTGCACATGGTGACAAGACCAGCTTTCTGAAGGCTTCCTGGCTGCTTCTCAGTCCTCACTGTGCACACCAGTCTGACCTGCACCATGACATCAAACACTGCCCCCACCCCCTTGACAGGCTGTGGTCAATGCAGCCAATGTCATGGTCAGCAAACTGTATGTTCCTCAGACACATTCTCAGAGGCATGCCAGGAACTCACGGCCTGGGCACTTAGCAGATCTAAGGTAAAGACTTCACTGCTTCAAGATCAGAATTCAAATGCCTGTCAGACTAATCCAAATGGCTAGTTCCGAGGAAGAAAAATGAGTTTCCCTTTAGAAATAATTGCCCCCTCCCCCTCCAAAAAATGTGCCTAACTTTTATTTATCCATACTAAGTTAGAACTCTAGCTGCTCTCACATAAACAGAAATACCTCATTTATAAATCTGTCTATCCATAGAAATCCTATGGGCAGCTCAAAAATGCCCTTGGCAGTCATCTGTGCTCCTGCTGGCCTTCATGGCAAGCCTGTGCCTTTCCTGTCAGGGATCTGTGTCCCCAGAGCCACTGTCTATAGCAACCAGCTTTTCGAGTTTTGTTGCCAATGCTTCCTTCAGAGGAGACCAACCACCCAGCCACTGAAAAAGAAACCGCTCTAGGGCAAGCTTGAGAACAAGTCCAGGACACACAGACAGGGAAATGTCCCCTTCGAGATGCATGAACAGGAAGAGTGTTTTGCTTACTTGAGTTGGAATGCTTGATCTGTCGTAACGTTCGTAAGACCTTGTGGATGTCCTTAATGCTGGTGTCCTTTTGGCTGTATAGAAGAAGCCTCCGAGCATCTGAGAACAGGCGAGACACACTATAAAGGGAACAAGAAAACGTCAAAAAGACTTGGTTAGGCCAGCTGCCTCTCCCCAGCCTGGCTGCCCCTCCTACCTAGCCATTATTCCAGCCTCAAGTGTCCACCCATGTGTCCAGGCCCAGTTTACCCACCAAAGCCAGTGTGTGCACAAACACACACACACACACACACACACACACACACACGGCTACCTATTGCCCACAATAAACCTAGTGCCTATAGCCAAAATATGCTTAATGATCCATGAAAATGTTTTCATTGATTACAAATATGAATTGAAAACAAATATGAATACATGTACAGTAATGAATTTGCCCTCGATTATACGCATCTGTCCACCAATAACTCTCAATATTTGTGTTATGTCTGAAAGGGCCCACAAAGGCTCCCCAACCTACCCATGGACATTATAAATGTGGCCCTGCCTGTGCCAACTACAGCACCATCTCTCCTGCAGCACATCCTACAGTCCCTGATCCACTCTAAGTCTGACTCTGCACATCTGAGGGATCACCATCTCATCTGGCAGATGCGTATCACACACAGCATCTGAGCAGGAGCCAGGAACACAAATACTAAGAAAGCAGCATCATGCTCTCAGGCAACTCCTGCTCGGAGAGAAAGACCTGTAAACAGCAGTGGCACTGCAGTCATCTCAGACGTCAGAGCAGTGACCTGAGAGCGGAGCTGAGGACACAATTCTCCTGGCCGGGGCTCTAAGCTGCTGGGGAGCCTAGACCCTTCCAGCTCGGTGACCCAGGCTTCTAGAACCGGCCATGTCAAAGGTACAGTCAATGTTCAGAGTAGATCAGATGGAGTGAGCTTGCTGTTGTCTCCCAGAGCCATTGACTCTGAGTACACAACTTTGGGACACAATAATCACAATGACTCTTAAATCCCACAGTCTTAAATCCTGGTGGCAATTCCCCCTTCATTCATTCTGTAGACTTCTCATGCAAACCTCTGCAAGAGGGGAAGGATAAGTATTAACTGACAAGTTTGGGTAAGAAAACCCGATCTGGTACTTACATGGACTTGTTAAAGTTTCCAACAACACCGGGAGCCTCACCGGGAGTCGGGTAACGGAAGCAAGGGTTGTTGGCATTACAGATAATCCCCTGCACCCACGGAAGGGTTCCTGCAGAAGGCATGGCTTTATTTGGAAAGTGGCCTGTTGAAATCGAGAAGAAGATACAGGGAAAATATTAGTTCTTTGAAGTGATTCCTGACACAGTCCTTCTCACATCTGTCTCCTTTACCATGTCGTAGAAGACCTGCCTCCTCTGAAGTGACTGGCCCTGAGTTAAGAGTCTGACACCAAATAAAGGTGACAATGGTTCTATTTGGTATTGCCTGTAGATTGGGACTCGTGACACCAACCTTGGGAAAGTAATAAACGGGGTACATCAGGCCATGGGCACAAAGTGCTTGGCAAGCAGCAAGTGCTTGGTCCCCATTTGCTGAATCTCTGCCTCGAGCCTCATCTCTAGGAGACAGAGAAGGGCCTCGGCAGTGACCTGATGCAGTGACCTTCACACCGCAGCTGATGAAGAACTTAGCATCGCACATGGCTTCGGTTAGAAACTTCATCACCATGATCCCAGCTCAAGCTCACTTCTTTTTCCTACATCTAGTAGTTCCTCACAAACAATGACTAGGCATGTCTGGGTGAGGTCAGAGCCTCCAAAGGCTCGGGAAGGTCTGTGGCAAGGATGTACAAGTGTTGCCTATGTGAATCAAGATAAATGTGCTCTCGGTCAGGGGTTCTTAATCCAGAAGCCTGTTCATGTTGGGACAAACAGGTCTTGGCTCCGGCTCTCATCATATTCTCAGTGTTATCTGAAGACTTGGCAAGCACTAAGAACCATGGCCCCGGGTGGTGACTAGCTTGTATTGCCATAGACTTTGGAGTCAAACCAACTGAGATTTACACCCAGTCCTTGCCATGTGCGAGGCACAGTCCAGCCAATCTCCAAAGCCTTGCCTTCTCACCTGTAAAATCGACATGCATGTGGTGTTACATGAGCTCTTATCGGCAAAGCATCTCGTGGTTTCATTTTTGTTTTTAAGAGACAAGGTTTCACTCTGTAGCCCAGGCTGGCTTAGAAGGCTGAACACTTTCCCAGAGTGCCCAGCAAAAGGCAAAAGCTCATGACTGGTCCAATCAGTACTTCTGAGCCATTGCAGCTCACCTACAACAGTGCTCCTTTGCTACTGTCCATTCAGAACACTCTTTCCATCTCGCAGTGCTCACCTTCCTCCTTCACCGGTCTATTTTCATGTAAATATGCTAACAGAGGCTCTGTAGAAGTAGAGCAAAGGCCAAGTTGTGCCTCACTTTACAGATCAGTCCTGGGAACTTTTCAATCTTTTCAAAGAGGCAACACGGGAGATGTGACAAGACCTGATCCCGATGGCCAGTCTCTGTAGGGACTCTGGCCTGTTGAACATTTACTCAGCTAATCTCTTTATCTCCCCGTTAACAGTTCAAGGAAAACCAAACAAGGCCCCTTGCCTAATGAGCTGCTGCTCCTCATTCAGTGGCGACTTATGTAACCCAACCAAATAATACTCCAAGGACCACAGGATTTGCCTCTTTCAAATTGCAGAGATACCGGCCAAAGGCACAGGATAGTGCAGGTCAAAGGCAGAGATGGGGAAGGCATTTCAGCGAAGACCCTTCCTCGTCTGCTGGACCCCATCTTACGTGCAAATAAGAACAGGATGAGGATTAGACATTGGTGTCCAGGATGTCAGTCAAAGAACGGAATGGACGCCAAGGAGCCAGAGGAGTCCTTAGGATCTTGATGACTCTGACCTGAACTACAAAGATTGACGGGAAGAATTTCACACTAGTCCTCTGTTCCAGAGTGCAAACATAGCTGCAAGCTTCACCTTAGCTTGCTGCTCTGCTATTCCAACGAATGAAATCAGAAAGTCCAGAGGAAATGTACTCGAGGCGTGTGGGTGTAACCTGAATCTATAGAATGTCTGTTAGCAAACTAGTATGGAAGTGCCTGCTGAATGTGAAAGTTACACGCTTTGTAAGAGCTGGGAAGGAGACGAAGAAACCAATCAGAAGGGTCTGCTGGAGCTGGTGAGTGGTAGGAAAGGTGTGTGGAACGGAAAGCCTTTGGTCCCAGCCAAAACTCCTACACAAATGCTTCAGATTTGGGACTTTTTAGAGTGTTGTTCCATCCATCCACCAAGCACAGCCTGACTGTAAAATGGTAACTGAGGTAACAACAGTGCAAGAACTGTTGGGTGTCACTGTTCACCTTTATACAGAAGCTAAAATCACTTGATCATGGTGACACACGTGGAGAACACTGAAGCCAGGAGCCATACCCATATAACCATGTTTCCAGTCATTACTGTATTTCAATGCTCACTGTCAAAGCTGTCATCAAAACACATGAGTGAGCGCCAGATGACCTGAATTCTATTCCACCTCTACCAGATATGTATGTGACTTTGGACAAGTCATTATAGGTGCATGACTCTCAATTTAGTCACCAAGAAACTAAAGCAAATGATAATTAAGTCTATTATACAAGACTGTCACGAACCAAATGAAATCCAATCATGTTAGTCAAACTGAGATGTTATACACAAAGGCGGTGCATGCTCTAGGAGCTGGAGAGGCCCTCTTGCAGAGGACCTGAGTGAGGTTCCCATAACTCACATCAGATGGCTCACAACTGCCGGGGACTCCAGCTCCAGGGGCTCTGACACCTTCGGCCTCCTCAGGTGCCTGCACTCATGTGCACATACCCACACACAGACACATACGTGTACTTTATTAAATCTTTAGAAAGTTTATGTTCCAATATGTGTTCCATGATTTTCAACCACGTGATTAAAAGACAGTGCAAACGAAAGGACCACCGGGAACCACATACTAGCAATTTGAATCGCTGCCTTAAGGGTGATTTTTAATCATCACTTTCTGAACTCTGACTAAGGTTATTTTATTATCATGATTTAAAAATGTGTGAAACAGATGTTAGCTATTATTATCATTACTGTCATCATCATTTACTGGGACTACAAATATCTCCAGAGTTCATGCCCTATCCAAAAAAAATGTAAAGTCCAGATTTTCTGTCCCAAGCCATTTGTGGTGTTTTTCCTGAAGACGGCATCTCTGGAAAAGGTTCTGCTGAGGGCACATTCACTCCCTACATTTCGCCGGCCATCAATGAATCTCGGGCTTGATCCATAGATACTCACACTCATGTTGTTCATAGGGCGGGTAGCTCAGGCGGACGGAGATCAGGATCAGGAAGATAAAGAGAGGCCAGGCCACTTCCAGTAACAGCTGACACTGAATAGAAAATAAGACACAATAGGGTGAATTTTTTTTAAAGGCAACATGGTGGCCAACTGCTATTGGGCTGAGAAATCCACAGAGAAATTCAACAATTGACTGACTTCTTGAGCCTCTCCCTCACTCTGAGCTTTTACATTAAACTGTGCGTGACCACCCCACCCTATGACATCCCATTCTGTACCTATGTCTTCTTTAAGGCAGAAAAAATGATTCCTGCCTGCTTCTTCAGGCTCCTTTCTACCCAGTCTTCAAGGCTCAGCCATTACACCTTCAGTCTGAGCTAAGAAGCCCTTCTCCTGAGCCCACACCCCCAGGAACCCGAACCCTTCCTCAGCACATCTCCCCAAGCCCTGGAGATGATCTGTGTCAATCACTGGCTTCCACACTGCTCCCTTGACATCTCACTGGGAGCACTTTTCATTGTAGAATACGTTCATTTAAACCACGGTTTGTCATGGCCCCTTGATATCCCCTTCTATGAAGAGACCATAAGTAAATCTCAGGATGACTGGTACTTTGGAGTGTTGGGGGCATTTTGGTTTTTACCCTGTTTTTTTTTTTGCCCCTAGCTTAAATAAGTAGCTTAGCCAGGCAGTGGTGGCACACGCCTTTAATCCCAGCATTCGGGAGGCAGAGGCAGGCAGATCTCTGTGAGTTCGAGGCCAGCCTGGTCTCCAAAGCGAGTTCCAGGAAAGGCGCAAAGCTACACAGAGAAACCCTGTTTCAAAAAAAAAAAAAAAAAAAAAAAAAAAAAAAAAAAAAAAGTAGCTTATAATTTTCTAAGAACTTTGGTATGGCTTCTTCATACCAAGCTCATTTTTTTTTTGTTTTTTTTTGTTTTTTCAAGACAGGGTTTCTCTGTGTAGCTTTGCGCCTTTCCTGGAACTCACTTGGTAACCCAGGCTGGCCTCGAACTCACAGAGATCCGCCTGGCTCTGCCTCCCAAGTGCTGGGATTAAAGGCGTGCGCCACCACCGCCCGGCAACCAAGCTCATTTTTTAATCTTCAGGAAGGAACTGAAACAAGATGATAGCTGTAAATGTTCCAGAACAAAAACCATTCCATGTTTATGCTTTCCTATGTTCTTTTAACTTTCCATAACAAACCCCTGCTACCACAAACTATAAAAAGCAGTTTACACAAACAGCATACCGGGACAGAGATGGCAAGAACCATGGAAGAGCCATACTGAAAACGGGTCGCTAAGAACAGCGATGTCTGTCAATAATCCCACAGAAGCAACAGGACCTCCAAGTTTGCACATGACATTCAGTCCTTTCTCTTCGGGACAGCAAATCATCACCCTGTACAATTTTTATTTGGTACCTATACCTCAGTAAGCTGGGGGCCGGGGGAGGCATGACTTTCTACCAGAGAACCCAGCCTGGACTCCCTGGACACTGAAAATCACTTCTCTACCAGGGAGGCTGGAGCCCTCCCTCTGAGTTCCCAGGTACTCTGTGTCCTTAGCAGCATTGGTACAGCAAGAATGTATTTACATACGAGTGTCCCGCTCTGCCACTGTCTTCTCAGTTAGTCTGCAATATGTAAGGGCTAAACGTGGTCAGCATTCATTGGGTAAGAGAGTGAACTGAAGCTTGTAAAATCAGAAAGAGGGAAACAAAAATCAGTTGATCCCTCTGGGAAAGCAGTTTGGCAATATGCATTCAAAAGGCATGTTTATCCCCTTTGACCAAGTAATATTCCTGGGAATTCATCCGAAGAAGCAAAGCATAAAAAAAAAAATAAAAAGCAAAACTCAAAAAGCTGCATACATGAACATATTCATTCACTGAAATGCTATAACTATAAAATATTGTAAATAAATAACTTAATTGTATGGCAAAGGGAAAATGATTACATTACTGCATATCTAGTGGGCAGTATATTACATGGTCGTTATAATAATGTTTATGAAACACAGATATCGCCAACCAAGAACACAGGATGCAGCACCATTGCATTCTAAGCCTGCAGCATTACAAAAGCACTCGCACATATTACTTAGCAAACAGAACTCAAGCTTTTAAAAATGGCATGACTGCAAATAAATTAAAGAATAATAATGAGGCCTGAAAAATTAAACAGAACGTAGACAAGCAGCCATTTATCTTGAGGCTCTGGAGCCATTGTTTCAACTTTCAGGATAAATAGCAGCTATCATTTATGGACAGTCCAATATGTACCAGGCTCACTTTATAGCCTTCACTTCCTTTAATCCTCAGAACATCACTGTGGAGCTAGAACCATTACTGTTTCCATTTTTACACTGAAAAGCCTTTAAGGAAGCTCGAGTCAAGGAACTAGTCAGCAGCAGAACTGAGACCAGTGGCCAGCCGTACTTGATTCCAGAGGTCACACGAAATTCTGTTTGACCTGTCAGGCATCTCCAGTAGGAAACAACACAGCTCCCCTATGCAGCATGAACTAAAACTGTCTACAGGTCCCACAGACACAAGATGAACCCACACCCTGGAGATGTTTAACAGTTACAGCTAATATTGGATGTCTACAGCACACTTAGGGATTTGTGTGCCTCTCATCCCCAGGAGTTAGTTCACAGTGACCCTGTCATACAGGCTACAAGGATACTAATTTATAAGTGAAGAACAGAGGTTCAGACAAAGTATGAGCTGCTGGAACTCAAATCTCCCTGTGTACATCTGTGCAGTACCTGCCCAGCTGCCTTTCACAGAGCTGTACTGGAGACATACACCTAACATCCTATGCCCTTAGGTGGAGGCTAGCACGGACCAGCTCTGCAGGACACTGAACTGGCCCAATAAAGCAAGCCTTGTGATTCTGGACACCTCTGCAGCCTCACTCTTAGGACCTACAAAGTGGCAGGTGCTCAGATTATGTTGGCAACTGGAAGAATGAATCAGAATACAGTTCTGGTAGCAAAGCACACAAAGAAAATCTTATACATCACTTTCAGGAGGTGAAGCCAATGTGTGCGACCAGATCAGGGTATGAAGGAAACAGACCGTGACAATTATGATAGCCAACACTCATCTAAATTTTATCTATTTCATATATGCATTATATATATATTCATAGTCAGACAACCAAATTAGTATTATTATTGTAGTACTGACTTTACATATGAGAAAACTAGGGCTGATTAATAAACTACCCAAGAGTACTGGTATATGAGAGAGCTTAGACTCAAAGCCAATCTAACTTAAGGGCCTCTCTATACACACCAATTTCCTGTAGCCCTTTTCCCTCACCATGTAGAACCTGCAGAGAACTCCTGATCTTTCAGAGTATCTACTGAGCTGAGACACTAATATGAATGAATGAATGAATGAATGAATGAATGAATGAATGAGACACTGCTCACAACATTCACACCACCAAAATCATATAACTCATGAAAGCTATAATTTAATTATGTCTCTGTACCCTGTACCTTCAAAAGTATTTCTGTCTCTAAACATCAAACCCACGTCCAAGCTCAGAACTCTCCATGTCTTTCTTTTCCACGTACCCTCCCTCTAGAAACTGAACTTGACTTCTTCAGGAATGCGATTCGTCAAAGTCAGCTCTCTCCTCCGTCTCTAACCATGCCATCTGTCCTAAGCATAAGGCTCGAGGAAAACAGCTTAGGAAAAGAGACTCTGCTTGTACCATTAGAAGCTCCTACAGAAAACTCGTCAAAATCTCTCGAGGGTACACCAACTCCGTACCTTCCCTCCACAGAGTGACAATGATGGGGAATGTCGTTTTCAAGAAGTGAGTCTCCACGGTCACAGCTGCCCTGGGGAACCCCACAGCACACTCCGTCCTTCCCTTCTCGGGGATCAGGAGCAGGCACCTCTGCAGTAGGACATCTCAACAACGGTACCTTTGGCTTTGAGGGCAGACACTAGTTATAGGATAGTTTCCTACAAACTACGCTGTGTTTAGCAGCACCTCTGCCCTCTACCTCTAGATCCCAGCAGCACAGGCACACTCAGGATTGTGCCAACCAAATGGCCCAGGATGGGAGAAGGGCTCTGTCCACAGTTGAGAGTTGCTGCTCTACTTGGAAGGAACAAGTATTGCTTCTTGTAAAGATGCAGCGTAAACCTAGCTCAATAGGGCTGCTGTCGTCAGGAGATTCCACAAGCCCCAAACCATGTTTGCAGTTTCATTTAGGCCTGTGCCAAACTGCACACACCACAGTGTTCCCTGTCCGCTTGGGTATTCCTGTCTAACTTTTGTTCTTGGTTGCAGAAGCTAATACACCACAGCCTAGTCACTGCATGAGTGCGTTTAGCTGCCTAGCCTAAGGACACAGCAGTGGTGCTCTTACATGCAAGATTTATCCTTATTAATTCAAGGCTAGGGTGGTTCAAGGGCTGTGTTTAACGAACACACACACACACAAAAATCAATGGAATAAAATTTGGCCCTGGGAAAAGATCTTCTGAATAATATCCATCAAAAAATACATATTTGAAAAAAGAAGTGACTGTTTCTCACCACTGAGCTGAAGGTGCCTGAGACTGCAATGGGGCACAGACAAGGAGTCAAAGAGAAAGACACCAAGACAGAGGGAAGAAGACATGCTTTCTGTCTCCAGCACAGTCACTAAGCTAGGAAACAAGGCAGAATTAAGCCAAGTGAACTGAAAATGTGGTGAATTCATCAGAGCCAAGGGAAAGACTTCTAACAACAGTGATGTATGCACCTGTAATAATCACTGAATGAACAGTGGATACAATGTGAAGCAAATCAAAAGCATTGACAGTAAGAGCATACATCTAAAGAAAATAAAACTTTTAGGTAATGGCTGATGTGATGTTACATTCCTTTAATCTCAGCACTCTAGGAGGCAGAGGCAAGGGGATCTCTGTGAGTTCGAGGCCAGCCTGGTCTATTTATCATGTTTCAGGACAGCCAGAGGTACATAGAAAGACCTGGTCTCAAAATAAATAAATAAATAAAACATAAAGTACTATTTGGGGTTGGAGAGACGGCTCAGCAGTTAAGGGGACCTGATGCTC